CATAAATTGGGGCTTAATAAGAAGTCCTCAATTGATGGAAGCCTCCTATATATAAGCCCTGAAATCTTCATGAGGGTGCTAAACCCTAAACCGCGTAGAGCTTAGGGCTTGGGGATTTTCAAAAAGAACCTCGCGGGACCCTGGAAATGTGTAGGACTTGGTAGAGCTTAGGGCTTTGGAATTGTCCAAAAAAAGCTTTCAGAAACCCTGGGGATCTGTAGGTCTGGGGAAGGGCAGGGGTTTTCCTTTGAGGATGGCTTAGAGATTCTCAAGAATGGCCTTTGAGACACTTGGGATATGGTTTAGGGTTTTGGGTTTAGGGTTTAGGGTGTAGGACTTGGGAAGGGCAGGGGTTTTCCTTTGAGGGTTACGTGAGGGCAACAAGGGAAACTTTTAGCCTGAAACCTTACTTTGACTTACTGGGGCTTAGTAGGAAGTAAAGGAATACAATACATGTGCATATATATATATGCACATGTATTTATACCTATATCTATATCTATATAGACATATATATATATCTATTATAGGGATTAGATAGGGATTTAGTCCCTTACTTCCTACTAACCACCAGTAGGCTTGATGAGGTTTATGAGCACTGATGAGGAGGGGATAGTGTAGACCCCTAGCAAACCCCCTCCGCCGAATTGGGATTATAATAAGGATCCTAATACAAGGAAGGGATTCATCAATCGCAGGTCTACATTGCATGGAAAGCAGATGTAGGGTGTTTGACCACCAATGAGCCTTCAAGCAAACACCTCCAGAGCGGTACGCAAGGCAATCGAGAACAGCTGCGGCTGCAGCAGAACCGACAATCAGGTGCGCCGCAAAATCAGTTGCAAAAAAGGGGGGGGGTCCAAAACTAAACCCTAAACCCTAAAATCAAAACTTGCGGCTCCATTTTGGGGGAGTGCCTAATACCTTGTCCTGTCTAATTTGTAACCCTGATATTGCGAATACCCGCATGATTCCTTCTCAGCCCCTATGTGTAAGCTGCACCTTCGAAGTCCCAATTCCTTTGTGACCCTTATGTCATCGTGGAAAAATCCCAGAAAACCTTTCATTGTTACATGTGCCAGGAATGTAGGATGGGTATCTTGCAATTTCTTGGTCTACTAATATACTCAGATCTCACTCCTCTGCTGTTAAAAAACTTAAGTTAAGTTACTCTAGCATGGAAACGCGATTATTTAGTATATACCCTTATTATGGTAACTTAGTTCAAAATCCTTAGCAGCAACCCAGCTAAGGCATGTAAAGTTTGGGGTCCAGACGCTTTAGGAGCCAGACCTTGAGATCAGGTATGTAAATGTCAGCATATTGGGATTCAGGAACGGGACTCCCCTAAAACCTAAACCCCCTAAACTCTAAGCCCCCTAAACCTAAACCAAGCAGCTCTTGGTCTAGCTCCGCTTGAAAGAGGCAATTGTTCACAACGCAGGGGGCCCTCGCGGTGGTGTAGAACCACATACACAAGTAGAGCGGCCGTTTAGGGTTTAGAGCACAGGGATTCTGACTTTCAGGGGCCCCGCACCTGGTGGCTGCTAAGCAAGTTAGACGTATATTATGTTTACCTATACATGTTCATATATAACTCTATGTTTTACATGTTATTATGCACTAATTGCTATACACTTTGTATATTACTTTGTTTTTATTTCTTGCTACACATGGTTTTGGGTTTCTCAACTCCCTATATGAGGTCAGTTTGCATTTCACATTCAATGTTCTTGTATACTGCATGCTCCACTATGCAAGCTTACTTAATCCGAAACTCTATACAACGCCTGTATAGCCCCGAATATAACCCCTGTAAAGGGAACCCATTATGGCATTACCATCAACCCTAAACGCTCCAACTCTAAACCTAGGGGCCCAGCCATTTGGCTGCGGCTGCAATGGCCCCTCACTGCGACATGCCAGTTAAATCCTCAACCTCCCTCGTTGCGTATAACAGTTCGGGCTGTAGGGTTACAGGAGTCGACTCTAAACCTAAGGTATAGCCGGGGATTATGCTATGCAGAGCCCTGAACCCAAAATCCAATAGTCTCCTATACCTACTAATTTCTTCAGGTACCACCGCTTTGTACGATACCTACCTACAAAATACCTCAAGCTCTGAACTCAAGAGCCGGGGGGGGTTCAGTAAGCAATGTTTCCTTTGTTAATGTCTTAAGTTCTTTGTAAAAATGAGCCATACTCAAACAGGGGGACCCTTTTAGTGCTAGAGGACTGGGAGCGTAGAGAGCCCTAAATCCTAAGCCCTAAAACGCACTGGAAGTTTCTGAATGACTAAAAATCCTTAAGTGGATCCCGTAGTTCGCTTTTTTGCACAATACATGTGGCGTTTAGGGTTGCAGTTTAGTATTTGAGGCTTAGGGTCTAGGGTTAGTCACCCATTAGCGGTCCCAAGCGGAGCGCTGAAAACTCGTCTTGTCCCTACGTAATTAATTCCTAGAGGTTGTTAAGGACCCCTCTCCCTGCGAAACTTCCGACTCCCTGACTTTAATGCTGCTAACCGCTAACCCCCTTGCCAGCTTCAACGCTGGGAAGACCGTCTGCGCCATACGCTCAGAAGCATGTTGTCCACAATTTGGGGTTTAAGGGAAGATTTTCCACATGGGTGACCCCAATAGAGATCCCAGTGTTTGATATTCCTGCATATATCAGCTCCAAAAATGGGGACCCCGATTTTCTCCGAGCTAAGTAATTTCTGTAGAATCCCACGGCGGGGCGCTACAACCCCTTCATGGTCTGTATAAGATTATAGGCCTGCACCCCTATTCTCTTGCGAAGGTTGTAACGATTTGTACATAACAGCCCCACGTTTAAAACGGTAATTGAGGTTGGAAGGGAGGCAGAACGAGAAGATCACAACGAAGAGTAGGTTCCTGCAACAGGGAACGTAATCACTCATTCTGACCTTCCAAGCAAAGAAATGCAAAATCCGAGAATGGCTTTTCCTCTGGTAACCTTTAGTGACTTTTGTGACGTATAATTAGAAGTAAAGATAGTGCACCCAAAGCCTGAGTATGTTTAGTCGATGGCCACCCTGCCTGTGGCTTCAGGGTAATAATTAGCGCTTTCGCTCAGTTGTCTTCAGTCACACTGTTTGCTTCGCGCAGTAGCCGTAGCCGTTTGGGAGATGCCTCTGAGTCATCAAAACCGGTGCCATCATACAAGTCTTATACTTAGAGCTAGCTGCAGAAGAAGACCCAGAAGCATTCCAACTCCACTTCTTGGGACCCAATCTTTAGGGTTTAGGGTTTAGGCCTTTGATCTTTCTTGCCCTTATGCCGGGAATCCTATCCATTACACTACCTCCTTGGGAGTTGTATTTGTGACTGTCTGGTTACATTGGACTGTGGAAGTTCGTCTAAACATGAAAACGTTTGATTTGACGGTAGATTTGTTGCACTGTTCTGAAAAGACACGGAACTCTTCGTAAGGGCCACAACAATTCTGCTAGTCAGGGATGGTAGTACCACATGGGGGACTCGCCGCATTTAATATCCTGGCATGTCATTCTGATGGTGCAGTCATCTGGAATCATGGGGGGGGACCGGCTCCGATAAACATGAAGTGGGTAGCAAAACTCTACAGAAGATAACTGTAGTTAGACGTGTAAGCAGAAAAACGACACAAAAGACAAAAGTTTATCATCGAAGGCCAAGACCATGGTTATTTTGCATGGAGTACACAAGCGTGATCGCTGCGAGTTCTCAGCTGCTGCTTTGGCTCAAGGTTTGCACAGAAGAGCCATGCAGGAGCCGGCGACCACGGAGCCCTTCAGGGGAAGTGAAGCAAGGATCTCAAGATGGATCCTCTTGCGAGAGATTTCCCATATCTGGCTGCCAATGATGTGCAATAACGTACTGACCTTGCTAAATGAGTTTTCCAACACGCTGTTCCTGGGCCACTCTGGCAGTGATGCAGAGCTGGCTGCAGTAGGGCTAGGCAACATGATGCAGAACTGCTGCGCAGTGACACTGGGAATTGGTCTCACTGGTGCTTTGGACACCTTTGTGAACCAAGCATATGGAGCTGGCCAACATGCACTGTGCGCTCAGTACTTGCAGCGGAGCCGCATCATTTGCTTCTTACTTGTTGTTGATCAACGGCTCAGTCGTTCGAATTCTTCTTTGCAAAAGGCAAAAGAGTAAAACCCAGACCGCACGCCTCAAACCTGAAACTTTCAATGTTGAACCAAGACAATACCAAACACCCTAAATCCGAAGTCCTGAGCCGAATGGACAAGCAAGGTCTGATTCAGCTCGTTTGGATGATCCCCTTGCTTTGGTTTCTGAGCCAGTCTTAGGGGTGTAGGTATTTTAGGAGTAAGTGTTTTTGGTGGTTTCAAGGCCTTTGGGTTTCGGGATTGATGCTACGATTTCAAGGCTTTGGATTTACGGTTTTGGAGTATGTTTCAGGGGAGGCGTTTTGTGGTTGGGGTCTGGCGTCTACGCCAGATGGCTGAGAAGGTTTCTGCCTTGGTGCGAGCGACTTTGCTGCCATGTCTGCCCAAGATCACTAGACAGTAGCGCCCAGTATTTCTAAAGCATTACGGTGGATGGCGGAAATCTTACACAACTTAGTATCCCCAAGTATTGCAATTACCATTCTTGGGCCAAAAAGGCCCTATATCAGCAGTCGGGACAGCCAAGGTTCACTGAGTCGATCTCGTTAGCCATTGGCCAACACGCCGACGTCGCAAAGAATGCCGCGTCCTACAACATGGCATCGTCCTGGGGACTCTTTGGCTTCTTCCAGCAACTTGACAGGTGCTACGGAAAGTTGTATAGACTCTGGCCGCACCGGCTTGAAGAAACGCATGCAAGTATTACGGCGGCTTCAGGCAACCCCAATCCAGACCCCATTTGACTGTAATCCTGAGAGAAAGAGAGTCCCTGACTTTTTTGCAAGACCTCTTTTGCTTCTGAGTGTTTCCGGAAGAGTCGAGGTATCAGGGGATCCTCGCCTACCTTCGCAACGTGTCCATGCCACATCTAGTGCTTTGGATTTCATGCACCACCAGTGTGCTGCATGTTGCGTGGGCTGCACTGTTCATTGTTGTCTTCCAATGGGGAAATACAGGTGGGAACTTCGCAAACCGTTCCCCTGCGGAATCCTCAGCAGGATCACAACAATCTTTGTGCAATCCATACCTAATCTACATCCTGGGGTTATCGTTTCAAGAAGCTCGCAGGAGCTGGTGCTGCCAACTGTGTGACGTGGACCTTGCAGCTAGGATTTGCTCTGGAAAATGTCTCGTCTGAATGATCGGGAAATCCAAAAAACTAACACGAGAACACAAACCTGTCGCAGTCTTGGTTGGTTTCTCAGAACATGCCCCCAAATTGCACAACTTCAATTTTGAACCTGGTCGGGTCGTGGGTTTGCGTGGTTGATTCCTTTGGCGGTCTGGGGCTTAAGGCAATGGATTATTGGATCCGCAGTGCTGGTTTGCAAGTCATCTGCTCTCCACGCAACCTGGCAAGAGCTGCTCCTCTTTCAGCGAGAGGCTTTCAGGCATTGGCCACACTTCCTAGAAGTGGCCGTGCCAGCCACCGTCGCCTATTCTGCTTCGGAAGTTCAAGGTTTCCCTCTTTCATTTGTCTTGCAAAAATATAATCCTCTTCCCCTAATATTAAACACCCACCCCACCCCTAAAATTCAATACTCCCAATTGTGGTATATTATAGTTTACTGCGAGTATTTATTTCACATTATGGGTGGTGGGGGTTTAATGTTAGGGTGAGAGGATTAAGTAGAAAATTTGATACTAGTCAAGACCACCTCGAGGTACAGGTTTGTAGCGAGTGGTGGTTTTGGGAGATCTGTGCGCTGGTTGTGGGCTACCTTGGCCCCACCCTGCTCGCAGCCCACGTGGCAGCTATGGCTGACTGGAAATTTTCTAAAAGCACAAACCGGAAGTTCACTGAAACAATTTGTTTCTGCTACCTATAATCTTGAGAACCAGCCGAAATCATAACCTCTGCCAGGAGCTATAGTTTCTGCCAGAGCTACGGGGAAACTTAACGGAAACATGTCAGAACTCTTGTGTCCAAGCCACTAGATACCCTTGGCCTTCTAAATCTGGATGAGGATTTCATTTTCATAAATGCACATGAAATTCTTTCGGAGTACCAGAGGTCCTGCGATTTGGTTTTCAACTTGGGGCTATCTCTATTCCTGCAAGGTCTTATTATACTACAGAACCTAAGTTCTCAAGGTTTAGGGTGCTTTGGATCATGCAGGAATTGTAATATCAATCCTGTAAAACCCCTATAGTGCCAGTTTTATTTTCATGTTCCCCGTTCTTTTCCACCGGGCTTCTCCATGAATATCCCTGAAGCCTATAGAGACCCCATATAATCCCATCTCCTACCCTACACCCTACGCCCTAAATCCTACAACTAAAAACCCTAAAACCCTTAAACCCT